CCCAAAGAGCGCTGTGTATTCCCAGGGCTTGGAACGTAGGAACCTTCACTCAGCCTCTCTTTGATCTCAGCACCACTCTGCTGGAATTCTATCCTTTTCTCCTTATAATGCATTTGAGACCCTGTAAGCCCCATCAAAAAGAATCTTGAAATTGTAATAGCAAGCTAAGTAGCAAGTGATTTCTATATGTTTTTGAACAAAAATTCATTCTACATTCAAACTAAATGTGATCAGTTTGCAGCCAGTCCATAAAATTTTTCATGACATTTTTTATTCCAGCAAAGTAATATAAAGTCTTTTAAAAATAAGTTGCAGTAACTGCTCACTTACAGCCCAAATATATAATGCGAAAACATGAAGCTCATCACTCCTGTAGAATGCACTGCTGCAATTTTGGTCTGCCTGATGATACAAAATCCTGCTTTAAATGTATTAGCATGATGTCAGTTGTTATGGTAGGAAATAGATGTATTTCTCAGTTGTTAACTATGCATTTTATTAGAGAATTGTGGGAGTTAGAGCAAACACATAAAGGGTGAAGAAATGAAGATTTCTACCCCAATGACAGGAGAGTCATGCCATTAGAGCAAGTGTGAACTAAGTTGCAGACAGCTTCATAATAATGCTGAAAGTGAACATTTTAATTTAATTTATCTTTTAAAGAACAAATTACTACCATTTACAATTAGTATCTCAAATGCTAAGAAAAAAATCATCGAATCAAATTTGGCTAAGAAAATAAAAGACTTGTACACTGAACACTATAAAATATTTCCAAACAAATTAAACTCCAGTAAAGCAAAGACACCCATGTTATGGGGTTATAAGAATTAAATTAAGGCATTAAAATTGCTCAATTTATCTACATATTTCCTCTAGTAACTATTACAATTACAAAGTTGAAACAGGATCCAGAATTGCAAGAGATCTAGAGCTAAAACAATCTTGATAATGGAAGGCCAGGCTAAATGACATGTTTTTTTATTTCAAAATACAATGTAAAGTCAGAGACCATAAAACAATACTTAGCATCATTGTTATGGAAAGCAAATACTAAAAGCTGTAATGAGGTACTACATCACTTATACTAGGATGGTGTTGATAACACAAAAAGAAAGAAAAATGGAAAATAATCATTGGTGGGGGATTTCTAACCTTCACACTTAGCTGGAAGGAATTTAAAATGGGGCAGCTGTTGTGAGAAACAATTGAAGGTTTTCCAAAAATGATAATCATAGAATTACCATACAGCCTAGAAATTCTATCAGATACCACAAGCAAATGAAAACAAATATTCAAGCATAGTCACCATAGCCAAAAGCTGGAAATAATTCAGTAGGTATCCACATTGGAAATTCTAGGCTATTCGAGCTCATGGATCTGAAGAATTAATCTTACAGGATGGTCACCCTAATAAAAGCAATCTGCAGATTCAATACAACCTCAACCAAAATTCCAATGCCATTTTTTACAGAAATAAAAAATAAACAATAAAAAATTTTATATGGAAGCATTCAAGAACAAGTATAGTCAAAGCAATCCTAACAAAAGAATATCTTAAGAGGTATCATCACATCTGATTTCACATTATACTAGAGAACCATAGTCATAAAAACAACAGGGTATTGGCACAGAAACATAGGTAAGTGAAAGAGAATAGAGGACCAGATACGAATCCAATGAACTATAGTACCTGATTTTTTAAAGACACCAAAATTACAGATTGGAAGAAAGAAAGCATCTTCAGCAAACAGTATTAGGAGAACTGGATTTCAACTTGGAGAAAAATGAAACTAGATTCAATCTGTCACCTTACATAAAACTCAACTCCAAACGGGTCAATGGCTTCAACATAAGACCTGATACCCTGAAACTTGTAGAGAACACCTAGGGTGTATACTTCAACTTACAGGCACTGACCTGGGCTTCTCTCAACCTTCTTCAGATAAGTCCGTGTTTAGATGACCATCAATGGATGAATGTGTAATAAAGATGTGGTACACACAAGGGGATTATAAGAGTTATTTTAGTTTTTAAATTGTGTGTGTGTGTGTGTGTGTGTGTGTGTGTAGATATGTGCACATGATTGGCGATTTCCATGAAGTCCAGAAACATTGGAGCTAGAGTTGGAGGTGGTTGTGAGCTATCTGACATGGATCCTGAGAACTGAATTCAAGTCCTCCACAAGAATAGCAAAAAATAGCATGAGCCCTTAAGTACTGAATAATCTTTCCAGCTCCCTACAGCAGAATTTTATGCAGCTATACAGAAAAATGAAATTCACAGGTAAATGGAGGAAGTTGAAGAAAAAATATTCTGAGTGATGAAACCCAACCAAGAAATGCCACGTTTTCTCTCTTATAACTGAATGCTGGATTTGAACCTTTATGTGTATTTACATTGGAATACCTGTAGATGTCAGGATATGAGAAAGGGCCCATGAGGGCAGAGATTTCAAGGGAATGGAAATAGTAGAACACAGTGGCATGTAAAGAAGAGTAAGAGGCAGTAAGAGTCGAGTGGAGTGGATGATGGCAAGGCAGAATAAGGAAAACCGGAGAAGGGCTAGTTAACAGTGAAGACTTTTGAAAACACGTAGAAACCTACTATTAAAGAAGCTTCCTAAAATCCAAATATATGCATATGTAAAGGAGTTTGAATGGAAATACCTATAATGGGGCTAACAGTGTCCCTCCCAAATGCCATTGGCAACCATACCAAAAGGCCAGTGCTAGGAATGACTCTTTTGGAGTTGTTGATCAGTGGGATTCCACAGACCCCTGAGCATCATAGGAATTAACGTGTCTCTTGGTTACTTTCTCTTGGAACTTGATAATGAGGTCCTGTTGGTGAAAGACACCATATACCTGAGTCACAGGACATCAAGCTGATGCAGAACTGGAAGTTTCCTCTCTAGTACCTTGATTTCACAATGCTAGAAGATGCAATTCACAGTTCTATGACAGAAAAGTTATCAACAGGCTCGCCCAGCTGTGAACCCTATGAGATCCAATAGTGAAGAGCCTATCAGGGTATGTCCAATGGTGCAGTAGTCTCTGGATGTCGTGGAGGTAATCAACCACTTTCTTATTGAATTTAAACCGCACTGCACAAGATTGAACCCATTCCTGTTATTATTAACTGGGAAATAAAAGCCATAGCTAGCTGGATCATAGGACTCAGGGGAGAACGACTATTTTTCTACTAAGTAGACATAGTATTAAATTTCCCCCACAAAATCCTTATCTTTATTCGCATATATTAGTGTATTGTCATTGAACCATCAGAGAAGCTTCTTTTTGCAGTAAACAGTGATAAACAAAGACCCACATCTGATCAACACACAGAGAACACAATCCTGTGAAGTCCTCAGCCCTAAAGAAGACATTTATACCATACTCCTTCCTCCCAAGATTCAGAGATTATTGCAGAAGAATGGAAAGGAAGACTGTAAGAGTCAGAGGTGGAGGAGGACTGCTTTGAAAAACAGTCCTTTGAGATCATTACAGGGATACTGCACACACGAACTCACTGTGGCTATGACTACATGCATAAGCCTGCCAACCAGGAGAGGTGCCCACCAAGTTTCACCCATAGCTGAGAAAATGTTGGCAGCTGAGACTTGCTAGGGGAGGGGAGTCAGTTTTCTTTGGATGTGGCCCCTGATAGGCTGCCCTTGTTTCAGTGAATGGCTATATATTTATGCACAAATTAGAAACAGCAATTAGACTCAGTGGATTTTAAAAAAGAGCACATAGTTGTGGGGAGGAAAAAATGATAGGGTCGGGGAGGAGGAATTGTAGAGTATGGGGTGGATTTGATTAAAACACACTATATTCATGTGTGAAATTCTAAAACTACAAATTAAAAAGATACAATGTGCACTTTAAATAGTGAATTTTATTTTTATGAATTTTGCCTCGATTTTTTAATGAATTCATACCAATTAAAGGTATCTTTCATTTTTTTTGCCTCTTGATGATTTCACCTTAGATGCAAGTTTGATGTGTTGAATGAATCGATATACAAAAGTCTAGGGTCTCCCCAAGGAGTCTTACATGTGCCCTCTACGTGGAAACAGGGACAAAACCTTTTGCCAGGCTTCTAAGCTCTCATAAGCACCATGCAGGTCCAGTGCTGTGGACCCTGATAATAAGCCATGCTATTTTTTTCTGAAACAAAAGTAAACCTCTACTGAATTTGCTTTGACAATAGGAAAATGCCTCCATGCAGAAGTAAGTGGTAAACTCCTGCCATAATAAAACCTGTCTCCATATGCCCACAGGAAAACATTAGTGTGTCATTACACATTCTGGAAAAACTTCCTCTAGCCTCTGGTTTTAGTGCTTAGCTCCTTAACTATTACATTTCCTGTCAAGCACATTTAATATTCCTGCATACAAAGTACAAAGACCAAAAGTCAGCCATTTTCTAGCAGGAATGCAGCCTTCAGATCTCAGTGAAGATTCTACCCCTCATTGTTTGGCTTCTTCTTAAACTCCCTGCCTGCTGGTCCGGGGAAATGAAGGGGTAATAAAATGAGAGTGTGCTTTGAAGCATTTGATCCTGTTGGACGCTGGAGGGGAGGGCTGCCCAAGCCCACCCCATAATGTTGCTGCATTATTCTGTATAAACACTCCAGCATCTGAAGTGTAATCTATTCAGGATGATGGCACATTACAGTGAAACTGTAATGTGTGTGAAGAATTCGTAGGCACCTGTCACGCACGATTTAACTAAACAATTTTCCAGTCCTGTCTTTTAGAGTGGCATTTTTTAACACCTTCATAAAGCAACAACATAAAAGAAAGAACAATCTAACATCTCTTCAAAAAGACAGCCATCATCCTTCACCAAACCCCAGTAGGAGACTCGGTTTTCCTGAGTTAAGATAATGCAGAGCTATAGGGATTCCCAGAGTTCTTAAGACAATTAAGTGACTAAATGGCATAGGATATCAGTTAAATTCCTTAATCAAGAAAGAAATAAAATTTACTCACTTGATGCGGGCTTGCTCATTTATGGTACCACAGGAAGTTATTTGTTTATGTTTTGTGTTCTATCTTCCTCTGTCTCCAAATCTGAATGCCCCATTGGTAAGGTACAGTTCCTGAATAACAGATGATCCAGGTTAAGGCATTTAATGCCCCCATTAGAGAGGAGAAAGAGCAAAGGAAGATTATTAATGAGGTCACAAAGGCAGTCACAAACTGCTCCCCAAGGATACAGATTCCCACAGACAACAGACTCCAAGTCCCTAGGGAATTCAGTAAAACCAGCATAAAAGGCAGAGTTGATGAAGTGAGCAGACAGTCCTAGAATTAGGAAAACAACCCAAAAAACCTTACAATTATTTTTATGTGACATATAATAGCTTTAAGGGAAAGAATTTAGAGAATTTAAACTAATACGTAGATAATACATAATACAGAGGTTAGCAAAAATGAAGTCAGCTGGCATTACTTTCTTAAATAAATTTTTTAGACTCTTCCTTGTTAGAAACTGTGTTTCACCCACAGACTGAATACAGGTTTAACTATTTCAGAACCCACTAAGCTATTGTCATCCTGTCAAGATACAGGATGAGGAATGACCCTAGACGAAGCTCCATCCCCCTTTCTGAGGGCATCCTAGAATGATGGTGTCTCCAGGTAGACCCAAGAGGCCAAGAGATCAAGGACACCCTATTTGTTACCTGTTTCACCAGATTCAGAAAAGTGGGCAGATTTAAAAACCTTGCTTTACTATGGCCCTCAAGCTACTGCACCAAGGGTGGGGATTCTGGGAAGGAAAAGTACAGAGTCTCACTAAATGACTGATTATTCTGCCTGTGTCTTTATTGTGACTTAAGGTAGGTCTCTTTCCTAGGGGATGGTCACTTAGTCAAAGTGACTGAATCAGCTGAACTGGAACTAAGTTACATCTCTACCCAAGCCAGAGATTCCAGTCTTTTCATCAGAATTTATGTATGTTTTTTTTTAACTCTAATAGAAAGGCCTCTGTATTTGAAGACCAGCATCCTCTATCATGCTGCCTTTACCCACCTCTCTTCTCTTGATCAGCAGTTTCATGGGCTCTATAAATTCAGGCTTGAAATACTGTCCAGTATCATCTATCACTGAATAATAGAAGAAAGTGAGCACCAGGTCAGGCAATGGACCTGAGTCAGATGAGTAGGGGCATCAATGGAAAAATAAAAGGAAGATTAGGTGCTTCCTATAGAGGCACGTAATGCCATGAATCCATACCATGGAAAAGTGCTAAGAAAATAAGCATGATGGGAGATAGTTAAATGAGACACCCACCCCTATATGGTCAAAGAGGTCAGGCAGTAGCATTCATCCTGAATTCTGGACACACTAGCAGGCTAGTCGTTTACACTGAGACCACAGAAGGAGCTTGGGGCCACCAAGAGGACCCGTGGTGCAATCCTGGGCACATGCCTCTGATTAGCCAAATTTTCCTAAGTGGCAGAAGACCAGGAGGCCTAAGGCGTTTGTTTTCAGGAGACAAACAGTGCAGCAGAAAGAAGAAAGTACTGAACCTTGTTGTTGTATCAAATGTGAATTACTGTGTGAGCAAGAACTCAATAGGTCAGGGATCTAGGGAAAACCAAATGCTATTGTTCTGCTAAAGAAAAGTAGCAATAAGTGTCTCCTAATGTCTTCATTGAAAAAGATCTTTCTCAGCCATCATCAGAGAAACTTCTACAGCTGATAGGAACAAATATAGAGACCCACAGCCAGACAAGAGAATAAGAAACTTTGGAACACTTAGCTCTAAAAGGGATGTCTTCATCAAATCTCTCCACTCAGGGAACTTTGTGGAAGAGGAGAGTAATGGAAAGAGTGTAAGTATCAGAGGGGATGGAGGACACCAGCGAATCAAGGCCTTCTAGACTCAACAGGGCAGGTGCACATATGAACTCACAGAGACTGTGACACATGCACAAGGCCTGCATATGTCTGCACCAGATGGGGTCCTAGAGCTTAAGGGAGAAGTGGACACACACACCATCCCCAACTCAGAAGCTATATCTCCAATGGAAAGCTACTTGCTAATGAAAAGATAGTTTTCTGTAGTGGGAAGACAAACCATTCTTCAGGGTAGATGGCCCAACACAAAATGAACTCAATGGCATCTTTGGAGGTTCTTTGTCTCGTAATGTTAAGTCATACCATTTTAATAATTTTATATATTTTAAATACAGACACATAAACACACATATATGCTTCTGGTTTTAGGTTTTTATGTGATTTCTGTGTGTGTGTGTTAATGTTTGTGTCTCTGTGTCTATATTCAGTTCTGATGCTTTTTCGTTGGTTGATTATTTTGTTATATTACAATCTGTTTGTTTTTTCTTTATTTACCTTATTCCATTTTATTTTGTTACTATCCCTTAGAAACCTGTTTGTATTCTAATATAGGAGACATAAAGGCTGTGATTCAGATGGGCGAGAAGGTGGGGAGAAACTGGGGTGGGTAGGGTAAAGGTAACAATAATCATAATATATTATATGAAAAGTCTATTTTTATAAAATAAAAAAGTTGTAGTACAGTAAATGAGTTTCATTTTTATGTGTCAAGTCTGACCAGTTAGTAGTGGCTACCTGGGGCTACATGTTCTCAAATACTTTGAGGCAGAGAATGGGACCCAGCAGAAAGGAATGCTATAGCTACTTAGTGGGATTTGTCCTAGGTTTGGGAAGGAACGTGGTATGTACACTGCATTGGTCATCTGTCACATGGGAGTTAATGTCTAGACTTTGCTTTTTAGCCACAGCTATTATTGCTCTAATAGACTTTGCTTTCATTGGATGGGTGAGAGGACAGGGTGGTGGAAGGAATGTGAATAGAGACAACTGAGACTAAAGGCCTTTTGAAAAGCTATATGGAAATCTACTACTATATAAGCTTCCTAAAATCTATATATAAAAATGAAAGGAGTCTAATGGAGTCACTGAATAATAGAGAAGGCAATGACACTAAACAAAATATCCAGTGTCAGGAAAGGTTACATCTTGTTGAGTCATTGGCCACAGGGAACACCCCAAACAGGAGAGGCTATTGCCAAAGCTATTCGTTTCTCTCCACAAGCTGATTGTAAGGCACTATTGCTGACAACAACATTTACTTACATCACCAAACATGGAGAAGTCAATCTGGTACCTAACTAGAAGCTTCACCCTGCTGACTAACATTCATGGTACTAGAAGGTACTCTCCATGCTGCCAGAGGAGAAAGGTAATCATCAACCCAGTTACAAATCCTGCAACCTATAGCAGTGAACTGCCTGAAAGATAGACCAGTGGCAATACTGGCACAACTGTCATGGAAACAACCAACCACTTTTGCTTGGATTTAAGGACCACTCCATGAGATAGAGCCCACAACTGACATTGCTAAAGGTGCCAAGAACCTGAGACTGGATAGGTCATGGGCCTAGAGGAAAACTTACTACTATTATTCTGATAAAGGAACATAGCAATAAAATAACTCATAGCGGCATACTACTATACCCATGGATCAGCGCCTCCCTCAGCACTCATCAGAGAAGCTACTTGTCATAATATATAGTACAGACACCCACAACTGGAAATGTACAAAGGCTGAGAAACTTTAGAGCACTCAGTTCTAAACTGGATGTCTTCATCAGAGATACAGGTTCGTGTATGGAAGAAGGCGTGGAAAGATTGTAAGAACCAGAGGTGGTGGATGACTCTGAGAAAATAGTACATTCAAAATACAACAGGACTCACAGGGATGGTGGCAGTGTGTACAAGTTTTTCAAAGGTGCAAGCCAGATGAGGACCAATCACTGAGACAGAGAAGGGACATAGGAGCCACTCCTTCATTTTTTAAACCTCCAGAACATTCAACTTGCTACTACATTTCCCATCCTTCCTTCAAGTAGAGGAATGTTATCTTGTGAAGGGAATGTAAGTCTTACCCCCTTCCTCTTCCAGTCACAATCTGGGACCAGATACCACAGAAAGATAGGTGTTATAAGCCATGAATGAGCCAACACTAATTGTGGTTAAACCAAAAGACAGAAAGAGCCCAAGTTTTGATGAAAGTATAGATTTACAATGACCTTGGTATGCCTGTATCTGAACTTCTATTTCGCTTATAAAATAAATATTCATATTTCTGTAGGACACACTAGATCAATTGCCCTTATCCCACTTGGATACAATTCCTAAACAGGATAATATCAACTATCAATTCCCCTTAAAAATCAATCAATATTGGGAGACAGAAACTTTCTACTTCTCTCATCCAGTTGCAGACAAACCAGTCCACAGACAACACATTTCCCAGACTCATTGCCTTGAGCAGAAACATTTAAGCACAAAGACTCCTGGAATGTTAAGATCAGTCTACACTAACCTAAGAGACTGACTGCAGTGGTCATCTGGGGCTACTATAATAAAATACCAAACACAAGGTAGCTTTAAAAGGAAATACATATTTTATCATGGTTTTCCAGGTTGGAAAAGAAGGATCTGAATTCTCATTCTGTTTACTAGCCTATTACACAAAAGATCCAGCCTCATACCCTCAAGTAGATTTAAGTCACCCTCTTCAAGTCATGGTCTCTAATACAACCACAGTGGACTAGAGCTTAACTGCATGTGTTTTGGGGTAACATATTTCTCTTCACAGCATTGATACCCTAGTTCTCCAGTGCTGCCTGCTAGGCAGTAGTTGCAACAGACACACACATAAGAGAGAGCATCAATATTCTTCTTATGCAGTTTCTTCTGGAAAGCACACTCCCGTGAAGGTTCGGAACTACCTTCCTAGTTTCTCAGTAGAAATGGAGCAGGTCTCACACCTGTCCAAGAATCTCAGCTGGTTCTGGCTCCCAAACTCCTTCAGTGTTAATCAGAACACCATACATCAACTACCAGTCCCAGAGGAGGGCTCTAAATGCTCCTGCCCATGGAGCATAAATTAGCCAAGCACTCAATGGAGCAACACTCTACTCACATAGAGAAGAGACTGGTTGAAATCAACACCAACACTGTGCCTCACTTTCCTAAGCCTGGCATGTCTGTCCTAACAGCCCATGCAGAGAAATGACTGCACATACGTTTCTTGTGCCACAGTACAAGAACCTC